GCACTTTTGGTATTTTGATGTAAACCACTCAGAAGTAGGAGCCCCGCAAAGCGGTAACCACGAAGACGGGATGACGGGGTCTATTCGCTTGCTTTGCACGCTCACTCAACCCTGTCATCCTTTTCTAACCTAACCTGTCCGAGACGGGGTGCTCCACGTCCCAGGCACGCTTCGCTCATTATTGCACTCGATATAACACCAAAATATTAACTTTTATAACTATTTTAATTTATAAACATAATTTATGGCTGCCGCCATTTATTAGAAAGGATCTTTGCGATATTTAGCAGTATTCCGCCGCCACAAATATTTCACTATTCACCAAAATTCTGAAACTCGGAGGCAACGGCATGATGAAAAGCTGTCAACAAAATGGCCGGTCTAGTGATTATAAAATTTAATCACTAGGCCTATTTTTAAATCGATTCACAAAAAATCGAAATCTTAAAGATCGATTTCGCAAAAATCTATCTTTTTTTGATTTGCGTTAAAAGTTTATATTTACAATATCAAAAGATACAATAAAGTACAGATAACATTGAATGATTGAATTAAAAACTATCATTCTTTACGAGTTGGGATACAGTCAACTAATTTTAAATAATTTTACAAATCTTAATAAAACAGAAAAAGATTCGATCTCGATTCTCTAGGGTGAAATATCGATTCACTAGATCTATTCAGTACTATATATTGATTTGACATTGACAGATGAATCGTCAAAAACGTAATTAATTAGTCATTTACCAATGTTTTTATAAAATAATTTAAAATACTTCGACGCTGCTCCGGCAGCAAAAATCGAGTGGGGGTGCTTCTGATAAACCTCCTTGACCCCCCCACATTGACAGAATCTTCAAATTCAGGCGACCGAATTGTAATCCCAACCCCATATATTTGTATTTATGATACGAAATACACATTACACATAATAATTGTATTTTATATATTAAATAACCTAAGCCTTACCTTCATATTGTGCAAAACGATTTTTATTCTTTTCTTCTAACTGTTTAGTCTCCTCCAACTTCTTTTTTTCTTTCTCCTCCTTCATTTTCTTCACTAATTCACTATTTCCAACAGGTAATATCGTATTCTTTTCTTTAAGAGATGCTTCATATTGGCTAATATTGTCGTATATTGGGGCATTCTCAATCGGCGCTTTACTCTTACTGGAGTAAAGAGCTTTAACAGGATCAAAATTTGAACTACATGCACTAACTTCTGATTCTGAAGTAGAAGACTCTTCAGACATTGTTTATTGACTATTTTACTAAAAAAATATTAAATAAAAATAAGTTCTAAATCGAAACTGGCAAACACAGTACACCGGTTCGGTTTGTCTTTGACATTTGTTGACACCTGACAAAATCAACAACAACTAGCGTGCGTTTTGTTTTATCTTCGTATTTTATTATTAAGATCCTAATTTTGATTATTTTTGCAAATACAAAACGCACAGTAAACCAAACCTTTCTACGTAATATTTTTTATTCTAAAATACATAATATCGTTACTACTTTGGTGTTAGTAATAATTTTAGCTTTTATTTCGTAGTGGAGTGCCCTCTCTAGTCAATATTACGCGTTTACGGAAACTAGCGCCACCTGTCGTAAAAACGAGAACAATTTTATCAGTCTCCATTCTACTTAGCTACATAGCTACGTGTATTTTATAGCTATAGCATCGTACCGTAGTACTATTATTTATTTTGTGTCGTAGACCTTAGTCACGGTCCGTCACGGTACGTGCCTATGTAAAGGGTTAAGCGTATATAATCCGGCGAAATTTTAGAAAGAAAGAAAAAGTTTATTTGGTACATACATTATAACAAAAAGAATAAAAATAAAACATTTTTTATATCTTATCAAAAATATTTAAAAAAGGAATAACACAATATGCACCAAAATGGTCTCCACTCAGCTTTAAGTCACGAATTGAAGATAAGTATAAATACATTAATTCGTAACGCTGATTTTCAGTGGAGCCGAGGAGTGTGAGGCAGATAACAAGTAACAGCAAGAGAAAAAATAAACTAAACATAAATATAAAATAAAATGTGAAAAGAAAAATTCACATTGTTAAAATTCCACGTGTCAGTGCAACATTGATAGTGTAGAGATGAACAAACGGTGGTACGCATGCAGAAAAAAAATGTGTGCATGCGTGTTTGTGTGTGTGAGTGCGTTCGTATGTGCATGTACGGTACTAGCATTGAGATTGAATCATACCATTTATTCCTATTTGCTGGATTTTTTATACGGAAATCAGAAACTTTGTTAATAAAGTTTTAAAAGTGGTAACTGTTTTACTATTTCTGATCGGTGGTGGTACCTATATCATTCCAGCACTTCGTGGCAGCAAAACGGAAACTACCACGGAAGGCAGCTGTGTGATGCTTAGGGTATGTGAGTCGTGATGCTGTCCTAACCCCACGCTGCGAGAAAATCAGTTTTTGGTATAAGTATGATGGTTCCCTGGTATTTATATCTCCAAAAAGCAATGACGCAAGGTGGAGGGTACGCCGAGTAGCCATATTCATCAGGTCGTGTCGATTTAAAAATGGGGTGATGTGTGATCTCTTAGGGACTGTGAAGCAGAAACGTGCGCAGGCATTTTGGACCCTTTGTATTAATTTTTTGGTTCTAGCGAGCAAGCATTCTCCAAATACTGTATCCGCATAAGTTAGCTTCGACTAATGAGTGATTCACACAACCTAATGCGCATGTCCACTGTCAAATACTCTCTGATCTGGTATAAAACTTTGAGTCTATAGAAACAGTTACGCATGGTTTCTTGTAGATGAGCATGACCCTCAAAACGCAACCTTCCGTCCATAACGAGACCTAAGTTCCGAGCTTCCAACACACGTTCTAAAGGAGTAGTCTTGATGTTAATTTGCGGATTGAAAGTTAGAATATTATTTGTCTGGTTATGCGTTCCCAGTAACATATACTTCGATTTAATGGGGTTCAATACGAGATTATTTTGATCACACCAATTGGCTATGCGGTCCAAATCTGAGTTGATTTTTTTTTATTGCTATATTGGTATCACTAGGTTTAAAAGACATATACAATTGAAGGTCATCAGCATATGTATGATAATTTTAGTATTTATATTTATTTATTTGAATAATAATAATAGTAATTATTTGAAATATTGTATTATATTGAATATAAAGATTAAATGTCAAAGCGTTGACCACATTAACTCGTAAATAAGTAAATACTATATATATTGAATGATGGCACCAACTTGAAAAGAAAAAGTAGATAAGGTGCTGAACTGAAAGATTGGGATTCAAAACACAGTCATACCAAAAAGTATCAAAATTTATCAAAGGTATACAGATAGCAAAATATTTTGAAAAATGATCTGCAGACCACTCGTAATAAATGTATAGTGTCAGGCGCTACATAATATAATCCACTTGTTAAACGAATACGCGACGAAACGAAACGAATACAGTATGACTTATAATCTGGTTGTGGTTACATATCTTATGTTATTTAGTAGATACCATGACTAATGTCGGTTAACTATTTAAAAAAAACAGACTAACTAACTTATGTACCTATAAAATTTGGTATAAAGATAATAGTTGAATTTTAAAATAATTTCAACTTTTATGTTACTAACACAACAGTTTATGTATATTAAGTTCGTGTGAGTATATATGAGTAATTTAATTTGTATAAATAAGTTATTAGCGAGACGTTGATCATTGCCAACAATGCGCCCGCTTACAAGGTCCACAGAGTAGGTAATATGCAACAGCAGGAAGAAGCACAATCAAGGCGAAGCCTAAGCGAACAAATCATTTACATACAGAGAAGACTTTGCTTAAAAATAACGAATAACAAAAACCTGTTTTTGGAGGCTTTATTTCTGTAGTTTGCGGTTTTCGTTTTGTAGCGATTATAAAACCGTTGTTTCAAAGCATTTTCTTGTTTAAAAACAATAGAAGTTGCATCACTTTCACGTTCTTAATTCACGTCCTTCATTCTCTTCATGAACTTTACGACGTTAATTCTAGTAAATATACTGTACGCATGAGCCCTTGGGTGATTAATACATTGATTTTAATGAAATCAATAACGAAAATCTCGCTTTTAATCGTATTATAATTTAATAAAATTTCTATATTAAAGGATGAATTCAAAAAAGTAATGCGTAACGTTAAATTTTTTACACTGTTACAAGTTATAGAGTTATAGAGCCATGCTGCAGTTATATTAGTAGTATAGTTGTAGCACGAACGGGTCGACTCGACCGGGGAAGGACCACGCTCTCACAGAATACCAGCGTAAAATATGTGTAGTAATACCAGCGTAGTATAGTAGCTTAGTGTTGCTGTGTTTCGTATGGTGAGTGTAGAGAACCGGAGACCCTTTTTACTGGAAACGAGGCATTCCATCTCAGTCCTCACGGGTGACAACGCATCTGTATTTTGATTCGTAATCGAGGATAGGTGTAGATGTCTATGAGCCACAGCAACCACTTACATCAGGTGGACTGTGTGCTCGTTTGTTACCCTATCCTATAAAAAATATTAATATTATGTCGTGAACCGTTATGTTATGACCGATTGCGTTCGTGCCTTCTAAATTCAAAACTTTGATAGGCCCGGGTTATTTGTCACTGCTGCGTTTCGATTTACGGTAGAAAAACACTCATTGTAGATATTGACATTATAGATATTAGTTAAATAGAAAAATTAAGTATTTAATCGTTCGCGCGCCTAACAAAATATTCATGATAGAAACACAAATTCAGCGAAAATAGCTTATGAACATAATAATAACATGTGTAATAAAAACTAAGAAAGTAACCATGTAAGCATTTAGAAAATAAAAGTATTGTTTATGCCCAATAATTAACCGCTGGGGAGGGGCGCAGGTATTGTTCATTTTTTATCACACTAGCGCGTTCAATCCACCGTTTTCTGGTTTTCTACAAGCAGAAACTCTTCCGTGCATTGTATCTAGGTGTTGAACATGGCACATTGCAATGATTTTTATGTTTTGTTAGTACAATTAAAACCATTTAAAAAATTACAAACGGTAACTTACAGGTGATCTGACGTTTGAGTACGAACCAAATCATTATTTACAGAGCTCTCGACTAGCAAGGCATGTAAAGTTAGTCTATTTACGTCCCACAGCTGAGCACAAGACTTCACATGTCTTCAAAATATTGTTTATTTTTCTATTTCTCAGACAGGCAGGTTCCCTCACGATGTTTTCCTTTACAGCCGAGGACGTGGTAAATCAGCACTTAAAATTGCAATTTATAATTCCATTGGTGCTGGCGGGGATCGAACTAGGGTTGCTCGCTTACTGTGAAATTTACAGCGGGCGCTAACCATCTGAGCTACCACGACTGGACACACAATGACTTGGGGCTTTTTTTATTCTTATAAAAAGGATTTTGTCGCTGATGCGATTATGACGCCCTGGTAGTTAGGTACAACAAAACTTATTAATTACTTAATCTCTTATTTACACATAAAATTTGACTTGTTGACTTGACTTGAGTTTTTAATTTTCTTAATTTGTTTACCTGCAGTGTGACTTATGCGGCAGGTGCATCGTGTTGCATGGCAGCATCTATGCCGCATCGACGCAGGGTCGACATACACAGGGACATCGCCAGGTGACCTCGGGGCACTGCCGCCCTTACAATATTTATTATAACAAAGTATAAACTATTTTATTACCTACACTTAATTACATTTGCATATTTTAACGGTAAAATTATATTTTACTTTTTTTTAAACGTAAGTGACAAACGAGCATAGATCCACCTTAACGGTAAAATGTTATTGCACTTTTGAATATTTTTAATAATTTCATTTTTTAAATGTAAGTAACTAACGAACATAGAAACATACACCTGCAGCCAACTTTAAGCAAAGAAGGCATCAGATGCGTCGTCATCTCAGAGGACTAATATGGAATGCCACACAGCATGAAATTATACTGGATCTCTTTACCTTCCGACTAGAATATAGCAGAGCAAGCACTGCTCGTACCTATCCAGACGAAATCCTACACAAAGAAGGTGTCCTACCACCAGTAAAATCATCCAGTGTCCGGTGGTAGTATTTTATATATTATATAATATATTAGGAATCCGCACTGGCTTCTCGCTAGTGATTTCTGGATCTCGACAACAGTGCTCTATGGGTCCACTCAAACACATATAAAAGATTTCATCAAAATCGGTTCAGCCTTTTTCGAGTTTTTTGCGGGACGAACCGACAGCAATTGATTTATATATATATATATATTTAAACTATAGATACGACAGAATTATATACAACTATAAACGTAATATATTGAGCAATGTAAAGTATTGCTAAGAAGCCAATACGCGCTACACGCTCTCTGTGAATACCAGCGTAAAATAGCAGCGTAATGCTGCTGTGTTTCGTATGGTGAGTGTAGAGAACCAAAGACCCTTTTAACTGTAATCGAGGCATTCCATCTTAGTCCTGTAATTTTGCCTCTTAATTGAAGATAAATGTGGTTATCTATGAGTCACAGCGTCCACTTACCATCAGGTGGACTGTGTGCTCGTTTGTCACACAATGTTATAAAAAAGGTTCTAATTTCAACTATATTTTTTACGTGTGTTATTACCTCAGAACTTTTTTCTGGGTGTGTTTTACCACTTGTATTAGCTTAAAGCTGCCTTAAAATAGTAAAGTCTACGCACAACATTTCAATTTATCTTATTAGACAAGGTTATCAAGGATAATAACAAACTAATACATCATAACGCATTATTGTATTTCACACAAATATTGACTAGAATGGAATGCATTTAGAATTTTATAGAAGTTCAATAGTCTACTTACAAAGTTTACTTTATTAAAACTAAATGTTAACTAACTAAACTAAAGACAGAACCAGCTTTAATTGCGTTGATTGATTTTCGGCTAGATTTCGAACTATGGACCCATTCAGGTCACTTACAAGCCAAGCTGCTTATGTCGTGCTAGTTTTTTTTTTTACTGATGATGATAAAAATAACACCATAAATAAGTATTTCTAATTTAAAACAATATTAGACGACAGGTTTGTGAAGATTCTAAATTAGCAAATATAGATTAGTATTAAATATTATTTACAATTCACAGCAGCTTATGTTTCGGGGCTAAAAGTCTGCCGTGGTGCTCTATTGTGTCTTAAACGTGGTTAAGAAATATTTTTTAAATTCTCAGATACGCAGGTTATACAGGTTGTTTGCTTTCAGTATCCAATACGTGGTAAATTGGTTGTTGCAGGCAAATGCGCGACATGCAAATGGTTAACTAATGGGTGTTTCTCAGAGCTCTATTCTCGCTCAATTTCGATTTTTATATTAATGTTTTGCCTTCATATCTGGGGGATAATCATAATATGGTATTATTTACTAATAATACTTCATTGATTTTTGAAATTAAACTTAAAGAATGTCTTGTTTTTATATTTTACTTAGTCCACGCGGCCACTGGTTGTCTAGTTTGTTGGAGCCGGCAGGGTTCGAACTAATTGATCGGCTATCTTCTGAGTTATCATGGCTGATGAGCGAAAATGTCTAGCGCCTTGTAATATAGTTCGATGTGCGCCTTACGAGATGTTTAGCGTGAAGAGACTTTGAATCGATTTCCCTCTTAAAAACAATAAAGAATACATAACATATAGATTTTAAATTATATATAAGCTTATGTTTTAAAGACGTGAAAGCCTACGCATTTCTTTTTCGCAGGTCGCTGTTGAAGAGGAGTGGATTGAGAGGTGTAAGATAGCCTGGTCGGGAAGCAAGCTTTAAGGAAACAACGCGCCATACAAAACAAGCAATCTACCTGAAACAGCGACCATACAACGCCAACCGTCATGTGTTCCAAGCAACTTAGTACCTAGTTTATATCAAGATAGTTAACATCGAATAATGTACGATCCGTCCAAAACGCTGCCAAACGAATTTAAACTTAGTGTTAACAATTTTAAGTGTTGTGTTAATTGCGTGTGCTAGTGTTAGTGCAATTAAGGACAGCGCCATCTGGCGTGGACTAGGCGCGACAACGTGGCGGGGACGCATGCGCCGTCGGGGCCGTCGCTGGCGATGCCATTTATTGAAGACGAATGGTGGGCAGCCGAGAATGAGGGCAGGATGGTCGACCTCTCCAATTGCCTGCAGGTTCGCATCTTCTCTCTTTTAATGATATAATATATAATAAGCCTTGGTAGCTCAAGCACTCGTCGTAAATTTTTATTATATTCCAGAGAACCAGGAATCAAATGCAATTTTAGATGCGTTCCATCTGAGTACATGGTAATATAATGTATGTCTCTCTGGTTATTCATACCGAAACACATAGGCATCATTGTTGCTTAGCGATAACAGAGGTAAATGGATGAAATTTTTATAGCAGCAAGGGATATTAACTTGTACCAAATGAAAGATAGAGAATATTAAATATTCTCCAAAAAAAACTTTCTTCTAAATAGAGAGGGAGGGACATGCGCTCAGCAGTGGGACGTACTTTATTAGAAATATTTTTTATTTCGTGCTGAGACTAAAATAGAATAGGATCATTTTTATTCAATAAAAATTACAATAATACTTTATTTAAACTTTACCACTGGTTCGGAAAACACCTCCGTCCTGGGAAGAACCAGCTAGAAACCCAGCAAGATTTTTTTTAAATATAACAGAACATTACGGAAAAGAAGAGGTTATGTTTTATGCATACAGAAACTGGACAGGTTACACTTCAGTTTACTGATCGCTCGAATCGTGTTTACAGGACGCTGTGACGGGAGGCGGGCAGGCCGCGGCTCTGCACCAGATGGCGTCGTCTCTCGGCGAACTCTCGCAAGCCGAAATCAGCAACATCGTGGGTCTCGCGGAGGCTGATGCCGATGACCCAGACGACATACTGAAGCAGCTCGGCGAGACCGCGTTCGACAACTTCGACACATTCTTCACTGATCTGACCAACTCGACCGCGACAGCCGTGCCGCCGATCGAAATAAAGGTTGGCTTTCACTTTGTTATTTTTTTTATAGAATAAGTGTGACAAACAATCACACAGTCCACTTGATGGTGAGTGCATGCTGTGGCTCATAGACATCTACATGTATCCTCGATTAAGAATCAAAATGCAGATGCGACGTCACCCCTGAGGACTAAGATGGAATGCCTCGTTTCCAGTAAAACGTCGCCGGTGCTCTACACTCATTATAGGCAAAATACCAGCATTACCTAAGCTGCTATTTTGTAAGAGCGTGGTCTAATCCGGTTGAGTAGACCCATTCGTGTTACCACCATAATATAGATGCAGTGTGGCTCTATTTTAAAGATGTTAAAATTAATTAGCTACGATCGACATCAAATATTACGAGTAAATGATTACGAATTGGGTAAAAACTACAAAATTAAAAGTCGAGAGTTCGAATCCGCTATTCGACTACCTCTTGACACATTAGCTTACTTGGAGTGGTTAAAGGATATATTAGTAATGTTATAAACATTACATACTTGTTTTTTATCAGCTGTAAACTACGCAGTTAAATTTAAAGTTTTTTTTTTACTGTATAACAGTAAGATACGGGCATGATAATAGAACGATACGACAATATCGAAAATGCTTTATTTGTATTTGAACTTAACATGACCTAATAGACATGTTCACTGACCACAAACAATAGGTTTAGTATCATAAAGTACGATTGAAACAATATATTATATACGAGTATATGTAACTGTAAAAGCCCGTATTTTGGTAAATCTTAGGATTTTCCTTTAAATTGTAGGATTTAAAAAAAATCCTAAGCTAGCTCCTGAGCTAACATGAGCTGCAACAAATAGCTGGTAAATGTTTTTTTTATAGAATAAGGGTGACAAACGAGCACAAAGTCCACCTGGTAGTAATTGGATGCTGTGGCCCATACACATCTACATTTATCCTCGATTAGGAATCAATACGCAGATGCGTTGTCATCCCTGAGGACTAAGATGGAATACCTTGTTTCCAGTAAAAAGCGTCTCTGGATCTTACACGCACCATACTAAACACAGCAGTATTAAGCTGCTATTTTACGCTGGTATTCTGTGAAAGCGTGGTCCTTCCTCGGTCAAGCCGAACCATTCATGCTACAACCATAATATAGCTGCAGCGTGGCTCTACCACGTTTTAAATGTAAAATGAGATGATTTTTCGGGCTTTTACCATTAGAGTTTGATACATGATAGGTTTTACCAATGCCTATAAGTTAGACTATCAGTGGTTTTGGAAACAAAAATTTATAATATACTTAAGTGGAAAGTATTTATTAAACATGGATTCAAGTGACTGACATATTCAAATATTTTTATAATGAGTTATATATAATAAACAAATATTTGTTTTCCTCTCACAAACATCATACCTACGTTGGCTAAGCTATTCATTATTTTTTTCTTATCAGATTATTGTCCTGTACAAATTTAATATTTTTGGTATTAACTCTATAGTTGCAAGAAGTTCCTGCAATTTATTGTCTTGTGATTTCTTTCTCCGAATTGATATCGCATTTTCGAGTGACATTATCATCAGCTGTCACATTAGAAACACCAGTTTTTTTCGCCAAAAATGTTAAAATACAAGAGAAGATTGTTACGGAGCATGTAAAGGTTACCTAGAGTAACCTTGACCTTTCGACAGCGTTATTGAGCTATGCCGTATACTCTTTCTCAACAATATCTTCTCTGTCATGTTCAATTACATTTTCAGCAGTAATATATTGTTCTGCATTTATCTGCAAATGCAACAAATTCTCTAAATCTTCTTCAGATGTAAACTACTCCAACCATATTTCCAACGATCGCTGAAGTTGTGATGCCCATTTTTATTGGAAAACCAGACATTGCTTCGTACAAGGTTCGCTATTTTTCATTTCATTGGATGTATTTTAAGCCCTCTGACCATTTCAGCCTTAAATTCTTCTAAACACTACGCATTTATCACTATCGAGATAAAAGTTATTGTCTTTTTTACTTGTCATGAGTTCATCCAGTATTCAATAAAATATTTGTATCAGACTTATTTTGTCTTATAAATAATATTCTAGACAACAAAAACTTACGTAATAAGCGACATTTCTTATTGTTCGCGGGCTTGACTTCTAGACATAACTATTTTTCAACACTTTTCGTGTCTCTGATATAAAACCTAAGATTTACAAGTTAATGGTAGTAAAAGTCCGAAATAAACGATTACCACAGAACAGTTCGAACTTTACCATAAGGACTTGGTAAATCCTAGGTTTTACTGAAAAATCTGAAGGTTTACCATAGTTCGAGCTTTTACAGTAACATATATAAATATTTTGAATAAGTACAGTTCAGTTACAATAAGCGTAACATACAAGATCGTAATTACCTAGTAGTTAGAGTCCATTCCATTAGTCCCTAGTCCGTTCCATTTTAAGTTGTAATATTTTGTGGATGGTTTTAAGCAATTGTTCTGTTGATGAAACAAATAAAAAATTCTCTCATTTTTCTGTTTTATTAAGACCAACTTATTTTTAATAATATATATTTTAAATGACAAATATTTACAAAAATGGAAGGCTTAATAATATTGGTATTCAAAAATTAAAGATCTTAACCTTTTCTATATTAGTGTATATTAGATTCTTTACATTTACTCGCTATATAAGTGATTTTAAAAATATATTTATAGTAAGTTGGTATATATAATTTTTATTAGTAATTAATTTCCATACCTTCTAAATTCTAGCCCTGAGACAGATGAAGCTGTAAGAGTCGCATAGGCTAACAGCACTAACATAGATAATAGTAGTAGTCTGAATTCTTGTTACAAATACTGATCAATTCATGTTCCAGCAAGAAGAAAATAACAACATATCGCCAGCGTCCGGGAGCCAAACTCAAGGCTCGTATTACCAACAGAATCAACTCTCTTTACCGAACAACGGTCAACAACGTCTCCAACAACTTCTAAGGTCTGGGACCAGCGCCATCAACAATGCTGTAGTGAACAATATCAGCAATGGCCGCTACAATATCGCATCCGCCAATCCGCTTTTGGCTGAAAAATTAGCCGCGACATCTAGTGGCATAAAGCAAGAACCTATGAGTAACGATTATAATGGAGCCGGAATGAACTATGGAAGTGCTTCTCCAATGCAACGAGTGCCGAGTGGAAAGCCGCAGGTGAACGACGCTGGCGGAGGTAAAGGTAAGTTTTATTAAAGTCTGTGCTTCACTTTTTCATAAATACAATATCATTCCCAATTTTATAAACGCGCCATCTGTCGATGAACAGTAAAACTAAAACATTTCGAATGTTAGTACGTAGTAAAATTCCTACAGATGAGTATTTTAACTACTTCAGTTTCGATTCGATCCAACAGATGGCGTGATGAGTTTCAAAACAAAAGTGTACTGCGATAACTCAAATAAAGTAATTTTTTATGCTATGCAAGCATTGCGGCTTGTATTTACTGCCCGGGATAAATAATTTACTTAATTTCGTGTTTTCTTTAATTATATGGGTATAATATTATGGTTTATAGTTTACACAATAAAATATAATAAAGATGTTTTTCTCATATAAATTTATATATTATTATAACATTAGTGCTAAAAGTGAAGTATAATAGTAATTAAATTGTTTTGAAAAAATGGCGGGAAATGGCGGGAATAGAATCGCCGCAATGGATGGATGACAGTTCCTGATCAACGATATCTTTTGTGACTGGCTGCACTAATCCAAGATGCAGTTTTCTCCTATAATCACAATCCACTTTCAGTTTCCGCTCGAGGAAATGCCAGCGATTTTCCTTTCGCGATCCGCTGCATTTGCTGCGAGAAAGTTTAGTTAATTCCTAACTGTCATGTTTATGAAGGCTTTATTGTTTCTTTATTGGCATTCTTTCTTGGTACATTGCTTTATTGCTTGCTTAATAAATTTTTGATTAAATATTTAATGGGTCATAATATTCTCTGAAATTGGTGTAAAATAAATTGACTCCTTAAAAAATTAAATATTTTTAGTTCGGTAGAGTATTTAAAAACTTTCATGTTAAAATATTGAAACGAAAATTGGTCATTAAGTAATTCTTTTTCTAATATTTCTGCCGCCTTCCATCCTTGCAGGGTTTAAAGGATAAGGGAGCCATTAGGATGAAAGAGTGTAAAGCATTCCATCTACGTCATCAGGTGTAATAGAAAAGAATTATTTTTATTCAACATACATTACGAAATGATAAAAATTTAAACTTTCAAAATAACTAGTTCGGAAAAACTTGTCTTGGGAATAACAAGCAAAAATTTTAGCAGGACTTTTGTCCAAAGTAACATATTGCAATTTTTTTTATAATATAATCGTGACAAACGAGCACACAGTCACCTGATGGTAAGTGGTTGCTATGGCCCATAGATAACTACATAGATCCTTGATAACGAATCAAAATGCAGATGCGTTGTAACCCATGAAGACTAAGATGTAATGCCTTGTTTCCAGTAAAATGGGTCTCCGGTTCTCTAAACACACCATTTCAAAACACAGTAGTGTTGAACTGCTGTTGCTGTGAGACATATATAGTCTGTAACTTTAACTTTTAATTTTAAATGTAGATGTCTTTGGGCCACAGCATCCACTTACCATCAGGTGGACTGTTTGCTCATTTGCCACCCTTATTCTATAAAAAAGGAAACTTTTAAAATGTTAAAATCAAATGTCAACCAAATGAATATGATATTTATTATTATTATCCTTTTCTGCATTAAACACGATTTACATACATAAATTGTGCATGGACCAACATTCTGACCCGAAACTATTATCTTTATGTATAAGTCCATAGTCCATACACAGTTGTTTCGAACGGGATTTGAGTCCTCGACCCCACAGCCCCGTAGCCTAACACTTAGCCACTACGTTACCGAATACTGGTTTTTTAGATTTTATAGTTTACCGTATCAGTCCACATTATCTAAGTAATATAAACTTTACTGGTGTAACGCGAACCTCTAGCCGCGGGCGTCTCGTTCGACCGGAAGTGAAAGTCTTAGTGCAGCATAAACTATAGGTTTATAACTTATCCACTTTCCTTTAGATGGTTCTACAATTATCACAGAGTTAAATTTAATTTTTACTATTGGAATTTTTTTATTCAAAAAAAAAATCAAGTACAAGCAGTTTACAAACGAGTACATAAATTGCACAAGGGCAAACAACAAACCCGGAACAATTATTTGTAGGTCGTATTATTACTTGTAGAGGCCTGTTAAATATAATAAATATTGTAATACCCGAAAAGGGTGGCTATGTTGTAAGAAACGTCATATTATAAATTGACACCAAATGTATACTTTAGTACAATAGTAACTTAAAATAAATGTTTTGAATTTGAATTTGTTCCGTGTAGGATTCGAACCTCGCTGCTGCTATTTCGTACGGTGAGAGTAGAGAACTGGAGACCCTAATCACTGTGCATGTTCGTCTTCAGGGGTGAGAACGCATCTGCATTTTGATTCTTAATCGGTGATAAATGTAGATGTCTTCGGGTCACAGTAGTCACTTACCATCAGGTGGACTGTGTGCTTGTTTGGCACCCTTGTTCTATACAAAAAAATATTTATTACATATTCTTGAATTCTTTTTTTATGACTAGGTATTTCGCATGGTATATAAAATAATATAGTATCAAATAGAAATTAGAATAAATAGCGCGGCCGGCATTAATCAGTTTGACCGACATGAACTAATAATATACTCGTAAATACAATTCTTTGAATGTAAAGTAAAATTTCCTGCTACTAATAAAGCTAAAGGAATCCATTTTGTCATACTGAGTTGGAGAACTAATGAGGGCATCCCTTTTACTGCCACCAGGGCTGCGCTACTTACGAATGAGGTAATTTTTTATAGAATAAGGGTGACAAACGAGCACACAGTCCACCTGATTTTAAGTGGATACTGTGGCCCACAGACATCTACATTTATCCTGATTAAGAATCAAAACGCAGATGCGTTGTCACCCCTGAGGACTAAGATGGAATGCCTCGTTTCCAGTAAAAAAGGACAGATTTAATAGTGGGAAAAGTGAATTTGTTAGAAAAGTGTAAAGATTAATGTTTCGTTCTGGAATTTTAGTTACATTTTATACAAATTTGAATAGAAATTAATAAATCAAATTACGGATTACTAAAAGTAGAAGAATCAAAAATAACCTAAAAATGTTTAAAAAATTAAAGAATTCAGCTCTGAGGGGTTTTTTCGGAAAACTTCATCTTAAAACGCAACTTTTCAATGATGATGACACTGTGTGCGTGCGTGAGTTTGTGCGTTGCGTGCCACATTCATTGGAAAAACATCGTACTGAACGCTAGAACTGTATAGATTTTGTCGTAAAACTTATAGTACTAGAACTAGTTTGACAAACCTTTCCTGATTTCCGTTCAGAAATACATTCTCAAGGTACTTAATTGTCGAGTTGCACTGTACTAACTCAATTCGCATATTAGCGTTCGCTTTGTCATTCTCGAAGATGACGACGTTTAAATTTAATAGTACATTACCCGGATAAAAATAAGGATTACATGAAACAACATCAAAATCTTACAGGTTTCCACATTATTTATATTTATAATACATCTCAGCGGTTAGGCTCGTCGTAAATTTCATACATATGCGAGTAACCAGGGCTCGATTCCCGCCGACGTATGGAATTTTTATTTAAAATTGTGATTAAAAATTCCGTACGTATAGATCTGATTTACCACGTGCAAAAAAAAAACTAAAAAACGGAATCAAACTCCCACTTTCAACCAGAGGGTCTGGCAGAGACTTCGGACTTCCATTTGTAACAATCATGACACATGCCACACCGCCTGGATATAGGTACCCTTAAGCAAGCTTGGAGTAATGTTCATCTGGAATCAGGCTATCGCAAAATATCCAGACAGGCTTAAACACCATCTCAAATCTCAAACGCTCCTGCTAATGATTATGTGTAGATTTCTTTCTTTAAGTGTCGCTCTCAACGCAGTCTTAATCGATTTTATCAATCTTTACCAGCCCCCCCCCCCTCCATATGTGCTGCTCCGGTTGGTATACATTTCCAATTAATATATTTCTTAAGAGATTTTTTTATTTTAAAAAACGTTACCCCTACACTGGGATTTTCTCCTGTATCGTGGGGGTAGTTTACAAACATAAATTGCACAAGGACAAACATCCAGACCCGGAACAATTATTTGTAGGCCATACAAATACTTGTTCCGTGCGGGATTCGAACTCGCGACCTCCAGCGCAGCCACTAATATTGCTAAGCCACTGCGCCACGGAGTCGTTGTCGATTCATTTTTCATACTATTGTAACATTCAACGCAAGCTTGTATTAATCCTTCATTTGCAGCTTTGAAATTCGTTCCGTTATCGCTGTAACTGGCGGAAGGTTATCCTCTTTTGGCGCCTTAACGCCATTATAATTGACGCTGGTGTTGAACCCGCTAATTCCAGATGCACAGCTCTGGTAGTCAGACATGTGAATAAAACTCCCCATCGCTTCTCATATCGCCTTCCCACGGATACACTCATGGATCCGACATAATCTACGGCGGAACATGTGAAGGGTGGCTCGTGATGAGCTATTATTCTCTCCAATGGACGGTTGTCTTCCGGCACTACTTGTGGCTTTGACTTGCAAGTCTTACACCATAAGAGGTGTGTGAAATACTACGAACTGTATTTACGTAAATATAAAATTATATCAAATACAGAATTATATATAAAATTATAGTAAATATATCAAAACATAAAATTTCTGGTTAACCTCATTCATAACGCATCTGGATTTTGACTTGTAATCGAGGATAAATGTAGATGTCTATACGCCACAGCAACCACTTACCATCAGGTTGACTGTGTGCTCGTTTGTCAACCTATCCTATATTTGAAAAAATCACCGTCTGGTGATTAGCGTGACCGAAATGAAATGATGAACTTCTCTAATCATCACTATGTAATGTTTAAAACTTTATTCATTGTATGACTTATGGTCTTAATAATCTCTTATTGACGTGGCCATCATTTGCAATAAAAACACTCACACACACACATATATAGTGTCATTATAGGGGCTCTCTATACGCTGCACACCAGAAAACAGCAAAGCAAGCACTGCTGTTTGTCCACAGAAAAGAGTAAGAGCGTGGTAACACACAGACGGA